CAACTCCCAGAATTCTGGGAGTTGACGCCCATCAATCTTAAAATTGCCAAGGTTGAGGAACACTGCTTTAGCAGTTTGATGGAAATAATATAATTCCACCCCATTTTTAGTCTTTTTCTGATCAGCTCATCACAAAGACTCCTTTGTACATTCTTCTTTTCAATACTGTCCATTTAAAGTGCAACTAATCACTGTAGCACATCATCAAAAAGCTCACTGATTCAACAAGATTTCCAATTAACTTACTCCGGTTGATTTGTTGTTTGTTGAAGATTTATCTCGAGCCAAATGTACCAGAGACAACAAACACAATTCCGGAGACCCTTGCTTGTCAATTGCAGCTTCTTCATCGCTGTCCATGCTGCGACTTAAAAGCCTCTCATTCTCTGAAGAAGCATCATTTTCGCTGAAAAACAGCAAAACAACAAATAAATATGCTAGGATTTCTTTTAAAACAGCAACATGCACAATTCCAGAAATGCCCCTTTGGATTTAAATTGCATACTTGTTAAATGTTTATTTAATATAGATGATGAATACTAGATTGAGTGTAAGTAAACACTGCAAAAAAGGGGGAGGCAAAACACTCTTCACTTGTATCTGCAAATTAATGTCTAGCAGTATATTTATTCAAAAGTAATCCTGGTTTTCTTCAGCAATGTAGGACTGTAGTGTTCTGTGCATTTCCACTTCCAAGAGAACATACATGCCCAAGTCCAGCCCTGGTGAATATTCTACTGAATATTTATGAATGAATTCTCTATACATATACATCCACTCCTCACATTTCATTTAACAGGGGCTAATCTACATCTGCATTTGAGCACCATTACTTATTTATAGTCTTAATTTTGAAGAGTTTAAGTAATGGAAACTCTTAAACAATGCTTGAGCCTTCATTATTGTCCCTACTAATTTATTTGATCTTATTTTCTCATTATACCAGCCATGTCATTGCCAATGAAAACTGCTTAGAAATTCACCCACTGGATTCAATGGGGCTCAGTTTAGGCACAAACATTCCCCCACCCCAATAGATTGCAATTGTTGTCATGTTGCACACAAACACACCCTCACACATACAAGATGCTGTTTAGATAGCACGTACCTCTTGACAACCTTAGCTGGAGTTGCTGTCAATTTTCCAAATTCATCTTTTTCAGAGAAAATTTTTCCATTTTCTGCAATGGAAAAAGAATGTGAAAAGAACAAAGTGGCAAAAATGCAAAACAGACACATACAACAACCATCTGACATTTGAGTTGTGAATACAATTGCCTTGGAGCTTCTCCAAGCAGGTGAGAATGCATAAATAACCAAATGCAGAGCTGAATTTTCATTAGTTTTCGATGCCTTTCCAATTATTCTTCCATTAACAATTGGAGCTTATGCAGTTATATTAAAGCAATGTAAGCCCTGTGGGCACTGATGTCTAAATAGCAGAAATTACAAAATGGTCCCAACCTTGGGCTTCTGTTTTTTCTTCCTGTATGTCAGCCTGGGCTTCTACTGTCTTCACTGACTGGCTGGTGCAGCATGCTGTAAGATCAAAATATATCAAAATTAACTCGTAAGAGTCACCTACACCAAGCATTTTGAATACAAGATGGCAAACGCAGCAGCATGATCAAAACTCCATTCTTTTCATACTTCATTGTATCGCATGGACAAAAGGTGTGGCACTCCAATTGTGTCCTTGCAACTGTCAGCTTTCCCTTTTTTTTTATTCTGCTGCAACCTCCCCCCCCGCCATTTCAAAACTGTAATCTTTGCTATTGATTTACCTTGAGCTGAAGTTTTAGTTTTCATAATGTAAAACATGATGATCAGCACAATAGCAATAGCCATTATGAAAATAGTGGACATGGCAATGATAAGAGCAGTAGCCAGATGCCCTTGTCCAGAAAGATCTCCTAGAATAATAAACAGGGAGAGAGAGAAAATATAATTTAAAAACATTTTCAGGGTTAACCATCAACTACTTCATTTAATTATTGATTAAATGCATCTAGGATCAACTCAATACTTCTAAAGCAGATAAAAATCCTTCCAATGTTTTGTTATTATCTCCGGTTTGGTTGAATAGGTAGTCATTCTGGCGGACACGTGACCCTATTGGTTCTATGATAGGCGACATCATCTTGATTTTCTGTTCTGCACATGCGCAGAACAATCTTCATTAAAATGTAATTTTTATTCATTTTTTTAATGTTGTGTGCATGCGCAAATCATTTTAAATGAAAATGTGCACATGTGTGGTGCGTGCATCTGGCGTGCACGCGAGCAAACCAAGTGCGTGCATGCAATTTTTTTTTACTACCTAACCGGTAGTAATGGCAGTTGGAACCCACCCCTGATTATGTCATAGATAGTACCAGCATCATCTTAAATCAGGGTGCCATTCCGTATGCTTGAAGAAAGCAATGATTTCTTTTTGATGGTGCTTTGCTTGCTGCAGTTACTGAATAAGCAACAATTTTTTAAAAACTCATCTAACAGTTCATTGGAGGTTATTTTTAATCTACTAAGTTTGTAATTATTAACCTAATTTTAACAGTGCTTTAAAATTATTATTGTTCATTTAATTAAGGACAATAGTGCACACAGCAGTGGCATAGTGACCCTACCCTAGTAAGAGGATATGAGATATTGGGGGATTACTGTCTTTTGATTTGTATGTGCTGAAAATAGGAGCATAAAAAGTGGAATTGAAGGTTGAACAGGCCTTAGAGATTGTAGATTGGCCATGTCTATAATTTACAATTCCTTGAGAATTAATGAAATTCAACTCAAAGTGTTTGTCTTTAATACAAGTACTTGTATAGCACATTTATATGTTCTCTTAAACAATTAACTGAGGGTAATATAATCAAACTAAACACAATTAAAAGGTAAACTTCCCTAATGAAAATGAAATGTAATTCTCCACTGTCCCATCCAGCTTCTTAAAAAGGATTTAAGAAGGCTCCCAATCTGCCAAAGCAGATTCCAAAGATATCNGACCAAAACTAGATGCAGTATATACAGTAGTTTTGGTTTGAACATAAATTACATACGAATCTTGGCTGTAGAGTTAAAAAAAAACATATATTTGCATACCTAGCTGGAAAGAAGGAATTGTGTCAAATTGTTTGTGTTTTAAATGGAAATCTGCTCTTTTTATTTTTGTTCAAAGCACACACTGCTCTGGCTTGGATTCCTGTAATTTGGCTCTCAGGATTTTACTTTTTCAGGAGATACATATTGGATTGGATGAACTATTCAACTCTTAGTTCTGAGTCCATGGAAAACAGGGAGGGAATGTCAAGATTATTATTGGTGCTGACAAGACTGAGGCTGCTTTAGGCAAGATTCTTCCATGTGGTTTCCTTGACATTACTGCTTCTCTTCCCAGTATGCAACCTATTTATTATTCTCCTTTAAAAAGAAACAAATAGAAATCCCTTTTATTCCTTCTTCGTGCACTGTGTCACAATGGACACGGGTGACATGTTTTTGAAGTCATCTGCACTGGAATGGTTAAGCCCACAGAGTTGGAGGCTGGAGGTCTCAGACCTTTTCTCTCCTGAGCCTTTTGGGTGAGTGACTTGGGAATACCTTACCTGGCATTGTAATCTGTGTTTATGCTTGCAATTTGGGAAGCTGCGGACACTCACCCCAGCCACCATTCCTTCTTCCTCTCCGTCTTACAGAATGGACAGTTGCACTTTGCAACTGGGAACATCAGTGGGGGGCTTTGTTCCCGGTTAGCACATCATTTCTCTGAGAAGTTGTAAAGGGAATAATGATGCTGCAACACACTGCAGTCTGCTCAGAGGCCCTGGACCTACATCCCTTCCTCTAGACTTATATGCATCACAGATTTCCCTGAAAAGGCCAACAGCCTTCCTCCTACAAACACGCAGTAATGATTTTTGCTAGATCTGTTTGCTTCTAAGAGGAAGATGGGTTGGCTACAAAGGCAATAATAAAACTGCAGTCTGTTTCTCAATCATATCCTTGCCATTAACAACTTTGCCTCTAAAGCAGATATATACTTGAATACATTTAAAGAAAAAGTCCCTATATCAAACTGTAAGGGCACTGTGTACTATCAAGTCCTTAAATGTTGCTGCCATATTTTTCTGATCAGTTCCAGGCATGTTTCTTCCCTCCAGCAGCTAGTCACTATCTCATGTAGAGATTTCATACTGGGCTGCTCAGTTCTCTGTGCTTTTATATATATATAATTTTGTAGTTGATCCAACAGTACCCTGTTAAGACAATGATCTTCTCCCTTAGAAGCTCATATTTCCTTTCCCACCTGTGCCACATTACTGCTAAACTTTTTCTTGATTTTTAAAACATCATTAAGTTGCAATATAGCAGCATGATTCCTTTCCTATAAACTGGAACTCTCCATTTTCCTTGCTGTAAAGCTTTTATGAACCCACAGAGGAAAGCAGGGGTGAAAGACGTGTTCCCTATTGTTATGTTAATATGTTATGTTAATGTTAGAACTACGATACTGTGAAAATAAAATAAAAAGCAAATGTATGTCTTAGTGCAAAGGAGATCACCTGGGAAAGAGGATCAGAGGTTGAAGGCAGCCAGATGTGCAAACATTTGGGAAAGCAGGGGAAAGCACAGGGATTTGTGAAAATTGTGTCTTTTTGGTTTGCGAGTAGCTTTTATCACAGTATTTCTCAAACTTTGCAATTTTAAGATGGGTGAACTTAATGCTGGCTATGGGATTCTGGGAGTTGACGCCCCCCCCTCTTAAAGCCTGTTGGCTGAGGGATTCTGGGAGTTGAGCCCATCAATCTTAAAATTGCCAAGGTTGAG